TTGCTCTTGTTTTTGTGAGTGGTCACTGAATTTCCACAGGGGTTTTGAGAAACGGCAGAATTAATTACTGCCCTCGTGATTAAAATAAAATCAAAACAAACATGGGAGTGAATGATGACATAATTATATAATTGCTCATCATTCTTAGTCAAAAAAGTTGGGGATTCCCTTGGGATAGCTGAAGAAAAATGTTTTTGTAGAATTGCAACAGAAGTTCTTTCCTTTCTTCCAGAGATCAGAAAGGTCAATGGACTGTGAAACGTCCCACAGAAAAGGAAATGGCTTAAGAAATAATTCAGTATAAGTTTTCCCCACAAGAAAAGCTGTATTTGGGACTGCAGTGTTGATTCTTTTTCTTGATGTGTGGTGCTTTTATGGTGAATATGCCAAAAAGAAGGTGCTGGTACTGTTCTTCATGGCGCTGCCCTTTGGCATTCTCTTTACCTTCTCCCCCTTCCTTTCTAACCGTATGTCTGCGCCTATTCATCACAGGAAAAAAAAAGATATAGTTGGGGCAGAAACAGAGAAGAAAAGGAATGGTTTCCCATAGCAAAGAAGTCAGACAAGCTTTTATTTCATCTCCCTGTTAATCTGTACACAGAATATATCAGAATGCAAGCTTCCCTGGAATCAGAGGAAGAAAAAAATGGCAGGAAGGATCAATTATTTAAGAAACAGATGATAACAACCTACTGGCAGGAAGCAGGAATACTTGAGACACCTCCTGATAAAAGTGAAATAAGAAACTAACCATCATGTCCACAGAAGAATTAGAGAACTTTACTATTAATAATGAAGAAATCAAAAATGTGAAACATTTCACATACTTTGGCTTGGTCATCAGTTTAAAGGGAGCCCACAGCCAAGAAGAATGAACTTTGGAAGGGCAACAATAAAGGAACTAGAAAGCCTCATTGACTTTAAGGATATTTTTCTGGAGATCAAGGACACGATCATTCACATTTTTGTGTTCCTTATCATCATATATGTGGATGAAAGCAGAATAGTAAGTTCGACAGGAAAAAAATAAATATGTTCAAATCTGGTGCTGGAGGAAATTATTTTGAAATGATAGAAAGACAAACAAGTGGGTCCTGGATCAAATCAAACCAGAGATTTCTTTTGAAGTAGGAATGAAATAACTGAGGCTTTCATACTTTGGACACATCATGAGAAGGCAAAACTCCCTGGAGAAGGGAGTCATTTTAGGGAAATTTGAAGGCAGAAGATCAAAGAAAACACCAAATATGAGATGGATGGACTCCATAAAGGAAACCACAGCCTTGAACATGGAAGAGACGAATGGAGCTGTCATGGACAGGGTGTTTTGGAGGGTTTTCATTCATAGGGTCACCATAAGTTGAAGATGATTTGAGAGCACAAAACAATGAATAAATACAGTTTTAGGGCTGGAATACAAGATAGAGTTGTGGTGCGCATATTTGGTGGCTTCTGTTCCCATTTCCCTCCCTCCTAGCTCTTTCCTCAATGTCAGCATTGAAAAAAAAAATACAGCTGTGCATATGCATTGCTTAATTTACAAAGGTTTGCGATGATCCTTCACTGCTCCCTGTGTGAGATCACACATACATAAAATCTGTTTTGTGTTTGTGTTTGTATGTATTTCTGTGTTGTCCCTATAGTGTGGCCCAATTCTCAAGAAAATTATCAAGTTGTGCAAACTGCAATTGTTTTTTTCCTTTTATTTGTTGGTTGCTCTTCATCTTTCCAACCAATCTGCGCTGTGACCATCTGAATTTGATATTAGATGAATGAGTGGAATTTGCAGACATATACTGCATGGCAATTCATGTGAATTAGAGGAATGTTCTTCTCAAGAGAACCTGGACAAAGAGACTCTCCCTCCCTCCCTCCCTCCCTCCCTCTCTCTCTCACACACACACACAATTTCCCACACCTCATTAGGCAGTGGGAAACCAATATGTAAAAACATTCATGATGTATGTGAGAAAATGTATACAAAATACTTAGAAATGCACCATGATGAGAGGGGAGGCAAATAATCTAGGTAACCATGAAGAAGGGGATCAGTGAGAGACAAGCTTATCAAGGTTTTTGAGCTCCATCAAAATCTCAGGTTCTCAGATTCCCATTCTAAAATAAGATTAT